TTCCTCTGTACCCTGTAAATTTACTGCCATAATCCCTTTAAATTGAAACACAGCCATGCAAACACAACTGCTTCACGATAGAAACACAAATAGGACAGGGGTAAAGCAAACGACTTTTGTACAAAGTCTCCCTCTGGTTTAGATTCTATATCCATTATTCAATATGATTGATTTTGTCTCGTATATTATTTGAATCGATTTAGTAATTCAATACACTACTTGATGGCCCTTTATATACATATGATTAATTAACTTTATTATTATTAACTTTTTTAATAATTTTCTCAGTTATGACAAGCAAAAATGTATTGAGCAAGGCTCACCTTGACATAATTCCGGGAGTACTGATATTAATACTCATTTATGGAAGTGAATTGTGGATATGGCTGAAGAAGCATGAAAGCAGAGTAAATACTGCAAAGATGAGAATTTTGAGAAGCATATGTGGTATTACATTAAAAGATTAAGTAAGAAATAATATAATTAAAAATAAGTATACACTGAAAGATGACAAAGTAACAAAGATGGAAAAGGGAATGTTGCATTGGTTTGGCCTTTTAGAGAGAAAGGATGAAAAAAGAATTAAAAAAGATTTTTCAAACAATGAAGAGAGACGTCGTTAAGAATCACCTTAGACAGTCGTATGTTTGGCCGCAACAGAATATCAGTGTTTTGCTCTTTTGAAGGTGAAGCAATAAACTGAGTTGCGGCCATTTTGTATTGTTATGGCACACGCACAAACGAAAAATTGTATTTAGCTTTATGTATTTTTTTTTTTAATTATTTATGTTATCTCACTTTTTATGTATATCAATATATGTTGTAATTTGCGTGCTGTAAGTAATGCAAATAAATTATCTATCTATGTAGACCAAATAGGCGACGAACTTAAGAAATGCCAAATTATATGTACCCGTAAACCAGCGAGCGTGTATAAATATATTGACGAATATAGAGAAGGCGAAAGAGGTCTGTTTAAATCGGAGCACTTTTTAATGGATGATAATGGAATGGCAACCCCGCCTGCGCTAACGGTATACGCGGGCGAGGCACCAGTGAGGGAAGTGATAAGTGAGGATGAAAAGGCAGGTCAGTTAGCCCTTCGTGATGAATACACTTGGAATTCAGCACGATGGTTTCCAGGGGGGACCACGGGGAGTTCGACCTGTTAGGGTATATTGGTAGTTACTCATCCCTCCAAATCGGAGCATTTAGCATTCCATTGTTACTGCCTACACCAACGAGAGACAGACGTAACGAATATGTATGCATATGTAAAAATGATAAAAGGACAGACGAAATTCAACGAGGGACATAAGAGAACTATTACTGTGACATGAATAACAATGAATTTAATCCAGAAAGAAGCGCATACAGCAGACATTCTACTGTAAAAATGACTAGGTATGCACAGTATTATTCGTAATAGCTGTAGCAAGCAGAAACTTACCAGAGGGAGACTGTACAAAAGTCGATTGCTTGGGTACCTCTGTCCCATTCGTGTTTCAACCGTGTAGCAGTTGTGTTTGCATGGCTGTGTTTCGGTTTGAAGGGTGGGATATGGCGTGAATTTACTGGGTACGGAGGAATAACACCTGAATCCTCAGGAATGGCAACGCATGGGGGGTATCATGGGCGAAACAGTATACTCTGTTATATCTATGGTACTGCTCATGTCTATAGACGACGGTTACCACTTTCCATCAGGTGGGCCGTCAGCTTGTTTGCCATTCTAAGTTGCATAAAAAAAACCTCAGTGGTAAAAAAAAAACTAATGTAAATATCTAACGTCTCTCTTAAGCGTGACAACTACTGGCAAAATCCCCCTTTAGGGGAAAGCTTTGTTTAGCAATAGACAGTTGATAGGCAGACGGCTGATACAAGAAATGTCTAATACTAAAATCGGTTGCAAACATTTTTTTTTATGATTAGAAAGAAAACACTTGGCAATTTCGATATTTTCAACATTGTCTTAAAAGGTGTGAGTTCAAATCTTGCATGCTTTGAAATATTTTGATCACGTAATATAATTGAAATTTCTTTTTTTTTTTTTGGTAATAATAGGAATTCATTCATTGGTCATTCATATCAGCCATTATCAGTCCACTGCTGAACTTAGGCCTCCCCCATAAGGAGGGTTTTGCCAGTAGTTGCCACGCTTTGCAGACAAGTTGGTAAACGCAGTTTGATTTTGTTGATACTTTAAGAGGAACGCTGTTGCCTGTCCCGCGACTGTTAAATTCTCTTAGTCACCTCTTATGACACTCACGGTAAAGGAAGGGATCGCCCATTCTATGGCAGGATCACACGGCGATATAATAATAATACTCTTATGTAATAACTAGCAGCCCGTCCTGGCGTCGCACAGGTGGACAATTTTAACACTTCCCTTCACTGCTCTGCTCCTATTGATCGTAGCGTGATAAAAAGTATACTATAACCTGCCCAGGAGTATGAAGAATAATTGTACCAAGTTTCGGTAAAATCCGTCTAGTTGTTTTTGTTTCTATAACGAACATACAGACAGACGGATAAAAATTTTACTGATTGCATTTTTGGCATCAGTATCGATCACTAATCACCCCCCGATAGTTATTTTGGAAATATATTTCATGTACAGAATTGATCTCTCTACAGATATATTATAAGTATAGATAATAATGATATTTAATAATCGATTGTATTGTTGAATGAACAAAATTCGATCATTCGATCAAATTGAGTCCCATCACTAGAATCAGATCGCAAGCGGGGACGATTCTTCAATCGTCGTGCCCATTGTTTTTAATTGGTGCTTAGTTTTTGCGACGGGCCGCGGTCGCCCATTGCGGGGTAATGAAGTGTGTGAAAAGTTTATCGTACGACTGTGTTCGCATCAGTAATTTTAGAGTTATAAAACGTTTTGGTGGTAACACACCAGTGACGTTTTGTATAATCAAATGTTTTTTAAACTACATACTATAGTGGCAAACAAACATTAGGCCAGATGTTTGTTTTGTTCTTATATTTTTTTAATGGATGCTAATGGAATGGTAACCCCGTAAATATGTTGACGAATATGTAGAAGTCGAAAGAGGTCTGTTAAAATCGGAGCATTTTTTTTAATGGATGCAAATGGAGTGGCAACCCCGCCTGCGTTAACGGTATACACTGGCGGGGCACTAGTGAGGGATGATATCCACCTAGGATAATAAAAAAAAGCATGTCAGTTAGCCCATCGTAATGAACACACAACTGAACAATTCTTGTTGAATTCGTCACGATGGGCTAACTGGCCTGCTTCATCCTCACCTATCATCTTTCACTGGTGCCCCGCCAGTGTATACCGATAGCGCGGGTACCATTCCATGATCACCCATAAAAAAAATACTAATGCTCCTTTCCACTCAAGGTTTGCTGGAAGAGAACTCTTACAGAGTTAAACTCGCCTTTTGTATATTTTTATTCAAAATAAATTATAACAATGTAATTGTTGTATACAATATAATATAATACGATGGCCAGAAATGCGGTGGTGAAATGTGGCTGCAGGCGGAGCATACTTCAGAACACAATCTGTTATATTATATGGCTTTATTCACAGGACCACACGGCCACTATCGTGTGGTCCTGGCATAGAATAGGCCAATCCATCCTTTCCCGTGGGTGTCGTAAAAGAGGACTAAGGGACGGCGAGGGATGGGCAGCAGCGTCCCTTTTAAAACATCTCTAAAGCCTGACTGCGGTTGTCAATCCGCCTGCCAAGCGTGGCAACTGCTGGAAAACCCCCCAAGGGGAAGGCTTATGTTCAGCAGTGGACAGTTAAAGGCTGATATGATGATGATGGTTCAGTAGGGAAGTGTTCTAGTTATGGATCACAAAAGCAAATTGGATTATCCTTGAATAGTGTCCATTCTTATCGTTCACTCATAATATAATGTTCACATTCTTTCTCTGCTCCACAATATCCTTTTTAACTTTTCTTCCCCTCGCTTTCTGAAGGAGTGGTTTGAGTTTCTACATTCCGTAAAATTTTTTGATGGCCTCCTGCTCAAGACGCCAGTACATTTTTCTAGTTTTTACGACAAATCTTTCACGGTGCAAGCTGTACAGCTATGGAATAGTTTCCATACGAAAAATAAAATGTCTGCAGAATATTAAAACAAATAGAATTTTTATTGAAGCAAATTTTCATCTTCTTAATTTGTTTATTTGTCTGATTAGCATACTTATTTCTTCAAATAACTAAAAATTTTATAACTTTGTGTTTTAAGTACACATGTGAGCAACATTTTTATTATATTTTTATGTATTTATGTAGGTGTTTATATACATATGTATGTATGTATATGTATGTGTATATATATAATAATGTATAGGGATATATATTTACATTATTTCATGTGTTACATCTCCATATTTAGAAATAATAGAATCTTCATCGAGCCTCCGATCAAACGTGGAAGAGATCGCTTTTGGCGATAAGGACGCCCATTCTTTTCTCAATACGATCATTTCTTGTAATTGTTTGTATGTATAATAAGTTTACTATTGTAATCTTTTGGAGGAAACAATATCTGTCTATCTATCAAATGGAAAAGAAAATATATTATGAATTATATTTTTTTTATTAATAAGACAACATAACAATGTTTTTTTCTCAGTTGAGAAGTCAATGGAAAAGCAATATATCAATACAGACTTTATATAGAACTTCGAAATTTAATCCCTACGTGGACTCAATAATAAATAATATACAAATATACATATATAAACATACATATATAAACATACATATACAATAATACACCTGCCTCCCTAGAAAAAAACTACAAATTAATCTATTGATAGAACATTTATCGTCGAATGCGTTTGATAGAATGAGATAGCGACATGCACTGTCTTATTCATTCCAATGTGAGCGCTGACCGAATCGATTGTATTCATAGAATCGATTGTACTTTGCCTCAATGGGCTTTTTAACTGTACAATGGTATTATTAAGGTTATTATTCCACTTACCAGATTGGCGTCTCTGGTTGTGAAAGTTACAGGATCCGCAGAGTCGATAGCCGTGCATGCGTACTCCAGGCGTCCGGTGACTGTGATCAGCTTGCTGCCGGTCCTCGCCAGGTCTATGAGGTTCAGACGTAGCGTATCAGCTGAGAACTCCACCTATAATACAATTTTTTTTATACAACTTAGAATGGCAAACAAACATGACGGCCCACCTGATGGAAAATGGTAACCGTTGCCTATAGACATGAGCAATACCATGGACATAACAGAGTATACTGTTTCGCCCATGATACCCCCATGCGTTGCCATTCCTGAGGACTCAGGTGTTATTCCTCTGTACCCAGTAAATTTACGCCATATCCCACCCTTCAAACCGAAACACAGCCATGCAAACACAACTGCTTCACGGTAGAAACACGAATGGGATAGAGGTAACCAAACAATCGACTTTTGTACAAACTCTCCCTCTGGTAATTAATTCTGGTACAGAACTGAAGAAACTACATTAGGAAGGGTACTGAGTACAAAAATAGAGACCGGCGACTTAAATGTTTCGAGCTGTTGAAATTTGGTACATAGGTACGTAAAAAGGGTTAGCCCTTCTCCACCTCATATAGTACCTGCTATTATTTGTCCGGGTCTATCAACACGGTCAAACTAGTCTAATAAATAAAAAAACAGGGGAAAAGGGATTGTTGGCAAAGGAGTTTGACAGCCCTATTGCTAGCAATATACCCTATTAAGTCGACCTCCACGTGGTTCCCCCTGGAAACCATCGTGAACCATTCTTATCGAATTTGTCACGATGGGCTAACTGACCTGCTTTCTCACCTATCATCTCTCACTGGTGCCCCGCTGGTGTATACCGATAGCGCAAGTGGGGTCACCCATGCATTATCACCTATTAAAAAAATATATAGGAGCAAGCTTAAAATTTGAACGAATCAAAAAGAAGGGGTATATCAATTTGCTTGCCTTGTGTGATCTCCGCAAAATCTTGATATTATTTATTTATTTATACTTTATTGCACTAATTAAAAAATAACAAATACACTAAATTTTAATAGAAATTGGTACAAAAAGTGGCTTTCAGTATTAACCAATATATATCTGGTTATTTTCGCTTTTCTCCTCTACCGAAAGGATGTCTGGAAAAAAATTGCTTTAATTGATAAGACCATCTTTTGTACTCCATAATTGTAATATATAAATACACATAAAATCGAATTAATAACACCCTTTTTAAAATCGGTTGAAATCACATGGATTATCAATTCTGTTAATACACCGAACCTCGATTAAGACCCAAGAAATTCAAAACAAAGTATACAAAATTAATATCCAAGTTAAACCCTGAGTGGCACTTTAAACTTTTGACTTTAGCCTCTGTCTTCGACGGGAAACTTTGATAACGTAAAAGAAAATAAACAGTTTTGAAACGTGCCAACACTATGAAATCTTAATTACAAATTGTAAAAGTTAGTTTGTGATGTTTCGGAGCCAAAGCGGCTAGACCGACAATCGTGAAATGTATTGTATTGTATGCCCAGATATGTATCTAAATTTCTGTGTTCCACCATAACTTCTAAATGTCTGACGAGATTTGTATGTGAGGGGGGGAAGTATTGTTGAAGTCATTGCATCATCTCGAATACCTTTGTTTTTTTTTTTATATTTACTTTTTGGTAGGACCGTCGTGTTTATTCTTTTTTAAGTACTGGCCGTAATATGAAACGAACCTTTTTCAAACATCCGATGAAGTTCGTATGAACCCGTGCACCAGGCAAGGCCCTCGCGTTCAACGACCCCCCGACATGCGCTCTGGAACTGGCCAGCATCGTGAAGGAACCAGCCACATGCGAATGTTCTAGATAGACGTCATCAACGACGGCTGACACCTGCAAAAAGATACAAAAATTTTAAAGAAGCACTACAGGTAAGCGAATTCGTGGGTAAAAGCTAGTATTATATATATCTTTTATATATACATTTTTATTATTATTTCAGCCCTTAACTATCCACTGTTGAACATAAGCCTTCCCTATAAGAGGAGTTTTGCCAATAGTTGCCACGCTTGGCAGGCGGATTGGCAACTGCAATTAGATATTTATTATAGATAGTTTTTTACAGATGTTTTAAGAGGGATGCTACATGATGACTATGATATATATATATATATATATATATATATATATATATATATATATATATGATGACTATGATATATATATATATATATATATATATATATATATATATATAGTGTTTGAAAGTGAGTTCGTTTGTTACTTCATGGCACTTTAACAATAGACCAATTGTTATGAAATTTGGTACGCACCGACAATTTGGGATGAAGAATGGTATAGGCCCAATGTTATCCCATGCCAGCAATACATATCCTGTCAGGTTAACCTTCACGTTGACCCCCTTGGAAACCATCGTGCTGAATTCGTGATGAGCTAACTGACCTGCCTTTTCATTCTCACCTGTCTACATACACATATATCTATGTGACTGGTTAAGTTAATCAGAATAAGATTTTTTTTTAATAGATAATAATGGAATAGAAACCTGGCCTGCACATGCGGGGGAAAGATATTGTTAGTAATGAAGACTAAAAGTCCCATTGTAGCAATATACCCAACCAGGTCGACCTCCTCGTGGTTCCCCCTCGAAACTATCATACTCGGATCTTGTTTAAGCTCAGTATAACATCCGTTTGGACAAAACCAAGTCATTTGCGAGCGCAAACGATGTACAAGAACGATGACCGTTTGCCGAACTTGTGTCGTATGCGGTCAAACTTTTGTTATAAAGCTGTAAAACTTTTTTCATATCAGTCATGGTTCACGTACTGTGGCGAAATTTGTTCCATACTCGTGCAATAGGTATCGAGCAAACATATACTATATGTCAATAGTTTTATGAATTATTATTACTGGCATCCAAAAAACTCGGTGTGCTCAATAGAGCGAAGCATTACTTCACGCCGGATCAGCGATTAATGCTGTACAAATCGCAAATCCGGCCCCACATGAAGTATTGCTGTCACTTATGGGCCGGAGAAGCTAAATACCAGTTTGAACCCTTTGTCTCGTTGCAACAACGCGCTATGACAATTGTCGGTAATCCCAGGCTTACAAGCGGCATCGAAGTCTTAGAAGAGATTTTGCTTCACTCTGCGTTTTCTACCGCTTGTACAACGGATTGTGCTCAGAGGAATTGTTCAATATGATGCCCACGGCCACTTTCTATCATCGTACAGTTCGCCATCGACAGGGAGTTCATCCTCATATCCTACAGCCTCAATGGTCGCGTACTGCGCGGTTTCAGAGATGTTTCCTCCCACGAACACTCAGGTTATGGAATGAGCTCCCTGTCGAGGTTTTCCCAAGAGCGTACAGCATGGAGTTCTTCAAAAGGGGGGTAAAGAGGTTTCTTAAGGGTCGGCAACGCACGCGTAATACCTCTCGTATTGCAGGTGTTCATAGGCTACGGAACCACTTACCATCAGGCGGGCCGTATGCTTGTTTGCCACCTCAGTGTTATCAAAAAAAGAATATCGTTGAGGAGTCCTTTTACAGTGCGCATTAAGTTTTTGATACAAAAATGCTTACCTACTTGAATTACCTTTCGTGTTACAATCCAAGAACAAGGATAGAAGGAGTGATAAAAGTGTTAATTCATAGCAGGCTAGTGTATAGAAAATGTTATACGGCCGCATAACCTTACCAAATTCAGATACAATCTACTTGCATACTGTCTACATAAACTGTGTCGAATATATAATCTACGAGTAGTAATGTAAATGAACAAAAATTTTACATACAAATTTTCTTTACACTAGTATGCTATGAATTGAGAAAAATATCAACCGATGGTGTACCTTTCGTCCTCTTTTTACTAACTATATTTGCATAAGAAGAAAGGAGGCAACCATATGATTTACAGTTTTTATTTTATCATTCCTTCTATATAATTCCTTGTTCTTAGGTTACAATGCAACAATCCATGACTTGACAGTGATATTACATTTTTTTTATTGTTGATAAGTGTTATATTTATACATATTTGATATATTTGTTTTTTTTTATAACATTACAAATTCTAATGACTCATTTAATTAACATTTATTCTTTTTAAGTTTAAAATTTTGGATGCCTAATTATGGCAAAATATGTGGACTTATATCTATATAACATATATATTAACATCTATACACTTACCATGTTTCTTGTGAATAAATAAAATATCAAATTGTGGTGACTGTATGATTGAACTTTATTTAATGGATGATAATGGAATGATGACCCCAGTATCCCCTTCGCAACTACAGTATCACATTTCTCCCTAAATATTTATTCCTTTTCTACCAACTTCCTTTACTTTTTATAGACAATGGTCGATATTACTACCAAATGCATTTTCAAAAAGATTTGACGTCAGGCAGGCGGCCAGTCGTAAAACTAAATTCTGGATACCTGTTTAATGTCGATTGTGGAAAAAAAACATAGCTATAAAATTTTTTTTTTCACCATTTTTCCTTTAAAAGTTGAACACGAATTATATCACCTTGGTTTATTTCACCAATAAAAAAAAACATGCAAAGAAAGGTTAAATCTGCGTATTTTAATTATATCTGCATCAGTTTTATCATGATACGCCATCTAGTGGTCTGTTTTATTGATTGTCCTATTGTCCTACTTCTGTAATCCACGCGTACGCGGTAGCCGGCATAAAGCTAATAAAAGAGAATTCAAAACCTCCGCGTTTGAAAGTCGCTTAAAAAGTATATCTTTTCTATGCTAATACTTATATAAGTAGCTCGAAATTCATTCTAAATTTTTCATCAGACCAGACTGAGGGAGACTTTGTACAAAAGTCGATTGCTTGGGTACCTCTGTCACATTCGTATTTCAACCGTGAAACAGTTGTGTTTGCAAGGCTGTGTTTCATTTTAAAGGGTGGGATATAGCGTGAATTTACTGGGTACGAAAGAATAATACCCGAGTCCTCAGGAATGGCAACGTATGGGAGGTATCATGAGCGAAACAGTATACTCTGTTAAGCCCATGATACTGCTCGTATCTATAGGCGATGGTTACCACTTTCCATCAGGTGGGCCGTCAGCTTGTTTGCCATTCTAAATTGTATAAAAAAAATACTAATCCCCATTTTTAACAGTCTATTATCCCCCCGGGAGGCCTACGTCCAGCAGTGGACAATTATCGGTTGCTGTGATGTGATACGATGAAATAAAGCTCTATTGAAACAACATTCAGTATAGAGATAACGAATACGATTGTTATTCCACTCAGTTCAAGATAGATCAGTAATTAGTAGCCGGCTAATTGGACGTGAGAATTATTCATGCAGTCACAGACTAGGTTTTACTGTACAGAAGTACAATATATAGCCGTTGAATATTCATTCAGCACTTTGGATATACTGTATCAATTTTTATTCTAGATATATTGCTGGCGATCAATGTGAAATTCGACTTATATTGCGCCAATAATGCGAATGCCGTATATTTTTATTCTAACAAAAAGTTGTTTAAGAAATTTAATAAACTACTCAAACTATTTCTTCTTATGCAACTTAGAATGGCAAACAAGCTGACGGCCCATCTGATGGAAAGTGGTAACCGTCGCCTATAGACATGAGCAGTACCATAGACATAACAGAGTATACTGTTTCGCCCATAATACCCCCCATGCCTTGCCATTCCTGAAGACTCAGGTGTTATTCCCCTGTACCCTGTAAATTCACTGCTATATCCCACACTTCAAACCGAAACACGGCCATGCAAACACAACTGCTTCACGGTTGAAACACGATTAAGACAGAGGTGCACAAGGAATCGACTTTTGAATAAAGTCTCCCTCTGGTGATGGTGGTACAAAGTATCCCTCGTCATCGCTCACGCGGTCTCGCTACTGTCATCTCCATGAGAATTTTGGACAATCTTTTTTTAATAATACTTACATAATATGTCCTAAGATATATAAGACATATTTTTTTATTATCATTATTTGGTCTCCCAGCAATTGTTACACTGATAAGATTTAATATTATAATTTCTCATGGATCTATCTATTTATACTTAGTGTACAATCATTTTAAAGAAAACACAGCGTGCTATTTTTTTTATACTACTGAGGTGGCAAACAAGCATACGGCCCACCTGATGGTAGGCAGTTACCGTAGCCTATGAACACCTGCAATACCAGAGGTATTACGCGCGCGTTGCCGACCCTGAAGAAACCTCCTTACCCCCCTTTTGAAGAATATGCTAGTAAACAAATAAACAATAATAGGGTATAACAAACTCTTGTGGTATTTTGACATAGGTATAGTTTTTTAGAAAATAAATAAAATAATAAAAAAATAAATAAATAGATTCAATAAACGATTACTTCACATAAATTTTAGTTATTCAAATTAACTGCAATGCTTTCCTTTAGAAAGCCCCTTCCGTATCGAAGTGTTTGGCCTGCAATTGTTTAACAGCTTGCAAAGACTTATACGTATGTTCTTAATTTTAAATTCTTTTATACATATTTTTGTTTTATTCTCCTGTTGCAAGTGTTTTGGGCGATGGTAACCGCATCCTATCAGATGGAGCATCTGCTCGTTTGCCTTCCTAACAATAAAAAAAATGTCGTGCAAAAAAAAATATTATTTTTCTCCACAAAAAAGAGTGACTTGAAACCCGACAAAAGATGTCGATCTAAACTGTCTACGGTGAAATGTAATATGAGATACATTAGATTAAAAATAAAACGCGTAACCATGAATCTAAAAGTAAATTGTTTCACTACAATGACAAGTAAACCTGGTTGCATAAAATGAATCAAGAAATCGAATTAGGATTAAGCTAAGATATATATATATA